TTTGCTTTCAAATATTCCAAAAATGCAGATGTCCCAAGACAAAACACAGACATCCCATTCCAAATAGATTGGTCGTTTTCATATCCATTTTTTTAAAAAAATAATAATAATATTTCTGTTACGGAATAGGTACTCGTGTAAGATGTTTCTTTTATTGCATAAAGAATGAAATAGTCAACAGCAAACGGCACTGGGCGTTTGATTATCCTGGAGAACCACAGCGCCGTGTTTCAATCTGACAAAAATCAAACTCGAAATTCTATCCGTGTTTCAAAGCTGGAAATGTAAATTGGAACCAATGTGATTGCATCTCTTTGTTTCCCAAGCAAAATTTCTACGGTTGCAAAAGTTTGGAACCCACTAACTCTGCAACCAAAACCACTTGTAAACCTTAAATCCAAGAGGGGTATAAAGGACTCTAAATTATTATTGCAGTGAGCTATTTAACTCAATACATAACTCCATAGTCCTTGGTATGCTGTATGGCAGAGAAAACCCTAGTGAGATACAGGGAGGCAATTTTCAGATACATCTCTGGAAAAGCACCTTTTTTATTCCACACAAATAGAATCGCTGAGCAAAGGAGCTTTGGGGGTTTTTCACCTATAAATTATTGTTGACACAACAACCGGAGAAGGTTTGAAGAAACCCCAAAGACAGATGTGTACCTTGAATTAATTATAAACAGAATATTCCTGCAGAACAATCCCCAGAGACACAATTTCTCTCTCCTTCTCTCCGGCTCTCTCTCTCTCTCTTTACAAAACTTGTGGGTTTGTTGTTTTTTTTCAGTTGAAATGGCAACTTTTGAAAAGTTGCTCCTTAAAAAAAACAAAACAGCAAAAGTTTATAAAAAGTATGATGATAAGATTCTGACAATGTGATTCAAGACCTCGTGAGGTTTTTAAGTCATCCCGCATGATACCAGGATAATCAACTTTCCATCAACCTCAGTATTTGAGGGTCTGCCACAAAGACGAAGGGGGCACGTTAGTCTCCAAAGCATCAGAGGGCAGGACAAGAAACAATGGATGGAAACTGATCAAGGAGAGAAGCAACCTGGAATTAAGGAGAAACTTCCTGACAGGGAGGACAATCAACCAGTGGGACAGCTTGCCTCCAGAAATCGTGGGCGCTCCATCACTGGAGATTTCTAAGAAGAGGCTAGACAGTCACTTGTCTGAGATGGTATAGGTCCTCCTGCTTGAGTAGGGGGCTGGACTAGAAGACCTCCAAGGTCCCTTCCAACTCTATTCTATTCTATGGTGACAGATAATGTTATGGATTCTGTAAACAAGAAATAGATCTTTATGGTTTCACACCAACACATTAATGCATTTTTCAAGAATCAAAAGCATTTTTGGAAGAGGTTTCAACACTCATCTAATCTACCCAACACAAAGCTTTCCATGAAGGTTAGAACTTGAGCGACGAAGCAGAATCGATTCTGCATTCTTCTCATCTAACTATAGAAGCTACTTGTTTCTAATGGGATCCCAATTAGGGAATTTCTGTATGAGAAGGGAGAGCTGCTTGCCTCCATTTGTCTGCAATGGTGAAGAAACTCCTACTTCAGCAGAGGGTTGGACTAGAAGACCTCCAAGGTCCCTTCCACTCTGTTCTAATATTTCTAAAATGTCTCCTTTTCTGTTAAGATGGACGGCAGGGTGGCAGTGATGAGTACGTTTGATAGATTCTCAAGGCCAACATGAACACAAAAGGTCGCCTTGTTCAAAGGTCCTGCAGAACTGGAATGAAGAGGCCGCAGCTCCTTCTTGTGAGCTTCCATTTTTTTTTATTGCTGTTTTTGACAGCTGAGACTGTCAAAATTTTCTTTTTAAAACTCAAAAGAAAAGAGAAGAACTGCATTTGTTCTCCTAAGCCAGTGATGGCGAACCTTTTAGAGACTGAGTGCCCAAATTGCAACCTAAAACCCACTTATGCATTGTCGGGTGCTGGGTGGGTGTGGCCCATTGGGTGGGTGTGGCCCATTGGGTGGGTGTGGCCCATTGGGTGGATGTGGCCCATTGGGTGGGCGTGGCTGCAGTGGTAACGGCAGACTGGGTGGGATTAAAAAGTTCAATCAATCAATTCCTACTTTGCAAGATCTTTTTTTTTCCCGCGAGAAGTTGAAATTGACTGATTGATTGAATCTTTTTTTTGTATACGGTGGCGGAGGCCTAAAGCGAAAAGGTTTTATAAAACCCAGCTGAAGGCCTGGAACTGGGGCGACGGCGCGCGTGCCCACAGAGAGGGCTCTGAGTGCCACCTCTGGCACCCGTGCCATAGGTTCGCCACCACTGTCCTAAGCAACGAAGAGAAGACAGTCTCCATAGGACTTCTCCTTCTCCTCCTCCTCCTCCTCTTCCTCCTCTTTGTCCATTAAAAGTTCATGACTGACAGCCTGTTTCTTCAGAATCTGCCAAACGTTTGCAGCCAAATTTATTCATGGCACGGACTCAGGGCCTTGTTCTGAAAACAGAGTTCCTAACCGAGCGTCACTATATTTAAGCGCACGCACATTGCCGCTTGCATTATCATGTCAGCTTTGGAGATCTTTTGGAGATGAAATCCCAACCCATCAGGACCAGAGGGAGGGAGGGAGTGGGGAGAGAGCTTGCTTTTCCCAGCTGAAGGTAAAAGGCAGGTGGAGACATCTGCTCAGCTTTGGCATCTTTTTTGACTTCACAGAAAGCAGATTCTCCACTTAGCTTCAATATGGCAAGCTAAGGCATGTGCAGGTATGGACAGGCTCACAATGATATTAAAAGACAAATGTGGATCAGTTTGTTATGAAACCTGGGATAAATTTTACCACTGGAGGAATGTGAAGGGGACGGTCGGGATTAAAAGTTGAATGTTAAGATAGAAATATATGTCATTTTAGAACAAGTATTGTATATAAAACTTAGATGCATATGTAGAGATGAAGAATTGATTGTAAAAAGTGGAATAATCTGATAAGAATGTATATACTGGAATGTCACGTTAAATCCAACGTTTGTTTGTTTTTAACTGCATTATAAATAAAATTTGAAAAATAATATATTGCAAGCTATGGGAGAGCCTTCTGCACCATCCATCTCACTTGTTCTTCCTCTGAGCACGTGTGCATCTTAAACTGAGGACTACCACGTGCATAGCCACGACCGCTGGCAATTCCAAACATCTTGGCACGCGAGCGATTAAAAAAACACCTCGTTTGCAATCAAGACGCCAAGATTACATTTCATTTTGCATCCATATTAATTCCGCGCACCCTCTCCTTTTTTTTTCTTTTTTTCTTTTCTCTTTTTTTAGTAAAATGCCACCAGCAGCATTCTGGAGGTTTTCTTCAGGAGCTTTCCCCCCCCCCCAGGGGACTATTTCTAACTGTGACTTTTTTTTTTCCCTTCCCCAAAATAACAGATGCCTCCAGGTCTGCTGCAGTTCTCAAAACTAAATTTGACATCTCCGCGGCGCGAAAAAAAAAAGGTAGAAGTTGCGTTATCGGTGCCAATTTTTCTCGTTCCGTCGTCCCGGCCAGAGTTAAAATTATTCTTGGCTGGCGTGTTTATTCGACGTTTCTGAATTTAGAGGCCGCGCTCTTATTATTCTCCCCAATCTCACACTCCGCTGCCTGGCTCCAAAAATTTGCTTGCAAGTTCGGTGGCAAGCCACTTCTGCTAGAAATTAATCTGCCTTCCTCGTTGACGGCACAGAAAATCTTACGGTAACGAGGTTATCCGAGGCCTCGGCTAATAAAGTTACTCTGCAATTTTAGAAAGCATTTATAATAATTAAAACCCCCATATTCTCTAAGAACTCATTTGCTGTAATAGTAGTTCTGTTTCCCCCCCCCCCCGCTTAAATATTCTCGGCTTTGCTGTTCACTTGAAGGGCTCTCTAAAGTTTTGGATAGCATTTCCAATAACTTTAATGGGCTCTGGATAAGCTTTCTAATTAACCCTAAAGAAGAAAGACACACTGGGCTTATTTTATTTTAGACTTAGCAAACGTTAGCCAGGGAAAACAGTTAATGTTCCAAAGACCAATTTCTGTACTTATGCTAAACTCGGGGTGAGTTCTCTGCTGAAAATGTACATGGTGGCTTAGCTCTTGCAGTGGGCTACTTAGACAAAACAACAACAACAAAAACAACAACAACAATAATAATAAAGTTGGAAGGGACCTTGGAGGTCATCTAGTCCAACCCCCTGCTCAGGCAGGAAACCCTATGCCATTTCAGACAAATGGCTGTCCCGTCTCTTCTTAAAACCTTCCAGTGTTGGAGCATTCACAACTTCTGGAGGCAGGTTGTTCCACTGGTTAATTGTTCTCACTGTCAGGAAGTTTCTCCTTAGTTCTAGGTTGCGTCTCTCCTTGATGAGTTTCCATCTGTTGCTTCTTGTCCTGCCTTCAGATGCTTTGGAGAATAGCTTGACTCCCTCTTCTTTGGGGCAGCCCCTGATCTATTGGAAGACTGCTATCATATCCCCCCTTGTCCTTCTCTTTGTTAAACTAGACCTACCCAATTCCAGCAACCGTTCCTTGTATGTTTTAGCCTCCAGTCCCCTAATCATCTTTGTTGCTCTTCTCTGTACTCTTTCTAGAGTCTCCACATCTTTTTTACATAGTGGTGACTAAAACAGATGCTGATCTGCTCCTTCCACAATGCCAACACAACCTTTTAAAAACTATCCTTGGTTATTATTGATAGAGGAGAATATTTGTAGCTCAGGGTTAGATCTGTGGGGTCCTCGGCAAATGGTTGAAGCCTTCTTTGGTGGCCAGAATTGCTACTGTAAGTGTTCAACTCCGCTCTAAACATCCCTGAATATTTTTGGAATCCAATTTCAGCCCTCTGCCTTTGTGAGCATCTTTTACTCCCACAGGTGTATAACTTCATCTGTCAGGGAACTAATACAAATATTGCCCCGAGCTTATTCATTCCGAAGGTTTACTGAAACGAGTGGAAGAAGCTGGCATTCTATCTTAAGCCTTTAACCATCTCCAATTACCTCTATCTGTGTGGGAACGCCGGTAGTCCTCAACCTACGACCGCAGCTGGGCCCAAAGTTTCTGTCATGAAGGGAGACATTTGTGAAGTGAGTTTTGCCTCGTTTTACGACCTTCCTGGTCACAGTCGTTAAGCAAATCGCCGCGGTTGTTAAGTGAGAAACACAGTCGTTAAATGAATCTGGCTTCCCACAGGGCACTTTGTGTGTCAGATGGTCGCAAAAGGGGATCACGTGACACCCCCGGGACACTGCAAAGGTCATCAAGAGGAGTCGGTTGCCCAGCGTCTGAATTTGGATCACGTGTGACCATGCGGAGGCTGCGAGGGTCGTAAGTGTGAAAAACGGTCGTTAAAAAAAAGTGACTTTTTTCAGTGCCGTTGTAACTTTGAACGGTCACTAAACGAACGGTTGTACATCGAGGAGTATCTGGGTCCAATCCTGCCTGCTATTTTGGCTGGAGCAGCTTCCCCCAAGCAGGGCAGCCAAAGTTGTTTTTGTTTTTGTTTTGCCTTTTAAACTTTTAGTAGCTAATCAAGAGCAACAGAAGACGTCGTCGGAAATGTCCCCAGCCTTGACCCATCTGACAGTTCGCAAGACGTTTTAGTGTCCTGGTTTTTTTACATGGGCACTGGAAAGCTAGCAATTTTATTTCAGACACATTTCTGGGTAATGTGTCTTTTTTTTTATAGTTAGGGATGGATGGGTTTCATTCCACTGTTACTTCGTTGTTCTGTACGCTGCCTTGAGTGTTGGGAGAAGGTGGTGTAAAAACGGGGAAAGATAAAATAAAAATGGTTTGGTGATTCATCTTAGACTGGCGAACAAACTTTTACGTGCCTTTGAATGGTTAAATTTCCTTCCTTCCTTCCTTCCTTCCTTCCTTCCTTCCTTCCTTCCTTCCTTCCTTCCTTCCTTCCTTCCTTCCTTCCTCAATCCCCTCCACCTCCCTCCCTCCGTCCACCTCCCTCTCTCCCTCCCTCCCTCCCCTTCCTTCCTTCTTCCTTCCTTCATCCCCTCCACCTCCCTTGCTCCTTCCCTCCCTCCCTCCTTTCCTTCCTTCCTTCCTTCCTCAATCCCCTCCTCCCTCCCTCCACCTCCCTCTCCCTCCCTCCCCTTCCTTCCTTCTTCCGTCCTCATTCCCTCCATCTCCCTCCTTCCTTTCCTTTCCTTCCTTCTTCCTTCCTCAATTCCCTCCATTCCTCCCTCCTTCCTTCCTTCCTTCCTCAATTCCCTCCACCTCCCTCCTTCCCTTTTCCTTCCTTCTTCCCTTCCTTCCTTCCTTCCTTCCTTCCTTCCTTCCTTCCTTCCTTCCTTCCTTCCTTCCTTCCTTCCTTGCTTCCTCCCTCCCTCCTTCCCTCCCTCCCTCCTTCCCCATCCCTCCCTTTCTGTCTGATTGCTCTTTGAATTAACTGACCATTGACCAGGGTATCTATAGAGATCTATCAACATATGTGGAAGGAAAAGAGAGCTGGCAGTTTTGCAGATGTTGCTAAGTTACAGTTCCCCCAATGTCTCACTCTGGGCCATGCTAGCTGGCATTCCCGGGGCGTTTGGTTCAGTAACGTCTGGAGGATCCCACATTGTTCTTCGCCTGCCTCCTTTTTGCCCTCCAATCCAAAAGTGCTCTGCATTGCAGTGATTTGAGTCCCCCCAACCTTTGCGATGCGCAAACAACTGGCAGGCTGGCCGTAAAAGAAAGAACAGTTTACACAGATATCTCCCGGCTTTAACAGCTTATAAATATTTTAGAAGGAGAAGCATGTTCTTGTTTGCTAGATATCTGTAATCTAAAGCGGTGAAGGACAATACTCTTTGTGCCCCATTACAAACTGATCAAATAGAAGGAAACGGAAGGCCCTTCATAAAATAAAGCCCATTTCTAAGTCGCAAGAAGTTATGGAAGGCAGAATACCTTAGCACCAGAAAAGACTATTGGACAATCACCTTTCCAAAGCCCCAGAAGGCAGGACAAGAAGCAACGGATGGAAGCTAAGCAAGGAGAGAAGCAACCTAGAACTAAGGAGAAACTTCCTGACAGTCAGAACAATTAACCAGGGGAACAACCTGCCTCCAGAAGTGGTGGGTGCTCCAACACTGGAAGGTTTTGAAGAAGAGACCGGCCAGCCATTTGTCTGAAATGGTACAGGGTCTCCTGCTTGAAGCAGGAGGTTGGACTAGATGACCTCCAGGGTCCCTTCCAATTCGCTTATTCTGTTCTCCAGACAACCAACGCTTTGGCTGTGTCCTCCAGCCTTCTCGTTAACCTCAGTATTGTGACTCTGAAACTTGCCTTGCCTGCCTTTTCAGATGCTTCCGGGGGCTTCAGCTAAAAGCCCCCGGGATCAAGAGCTGATCCGACTACTTTCTCAGCTTTTTTTGACCTCCGGCTCTGGAATTGCCTTGGAATTTGCTTTCCGGTTGCTAGTGAGATCCGAGGCTATTTAAAGACCATGCAATTAATTTCTCACGAATGTTAACGGCTAGGTTTGGGCCATGGGCACAGCTATTCGGCAAGTGTGAGTGGAGCCCTTATTAAAGAAGGGACTCAGCCAATAGCTTCAGGGGCCTTCAGGGCAGGGAGAACGGCCTCAAAATCAGAGCTGCCTGTGGATAAACCTCTCCCGTTTGCTGCCAAATCAGGTGGAAGAAGGAAAAAGATTGCAAGGTGTATGTGAAAATGCACTGAGCGGGTTGCACTAACCCGGCCACTAGAACATAGCAGAATGTGTGTTTAGTTTGTTTCTGTACAGTGTATTCTGCAAAGCTGGTCGTGTCGTTTGCTGACCATAATTCGTGGTTTGTGTGTTGCATGAACTCAAGCATATAGAATCAAATGGAATATAAGCGAAGTTTCATAATGGCTCCTTTCCACCTTGTTACTTCAGGTTACCTTAACATCGTTATCAGGGGAAGAGGAAGGGGAAGGAAGGGAAGGGAAGGAAGGGAAAGGAATGGAAAGGAAAGAGAAAGGAAAGGAAAGGAAAGGAAAGAGAAAGGAAAGGAAAGGAAAGGAAAGAGAAAGGAAAGAGAAAGGAAAGAGAAAGGAAAGGAAAGGAAAGAAAAAAGGAAGGAGAAGGGAAAGGAAAGAGAAAGGAAGGAGAAAGGAAAGGAAAGGAAAGAGAAAGGAAAGGAAAGGAAAGAGAAAGGAAGGAGAAAGGAAAGGAAAGGAAAGGAAAGGAAGGAGAAAGGAAAGGAAAGAAAAGAGAAAGGAAGGAAGGAGAAAGGAAAGGAGAGGAGAGGAGAATCTGGGTGGACTATACTGACCAAAGGGTTAATAATAATTTAATGCACCATTGAAAACAATTAACAGGCTAAATCAATGCAAGGAAATTAATACAATACCATTCCTCTTAAAGCTTTTGTGAAATAATTCCTAGAAGGGAATATATAAAGTAAAAAAAAAAAGAAAGCTAATTGATCCTTGGAGAAATAACGGGCAAAAATATTTCAGAGCCCTATCTTAGTAAATCTGGCAGGCATTTAATCCCAAATGAGCCCTTCTCTTCCCGTACCCATCTTTGGACTTCATTGCCCAGGACAGTTCGTCAAGGTACAGTGTCTCTCAACCTTAGCACCTTTTCAGATGGGTGGACTTCGACTCCCAGAATTCCCCAGCCAGATGACAACTCTGGGCTACAAACCCTGCATCAACGCCGAGAAATACATTGGGACCCAGAGATGTTCCTGGTCACTTGTAATCTTTTTCTCCAGGGAGAGACAAAATCCTAGCCAGTACTGGAAGGGCAGGAAGGGCATTGATCTAAGTGGAAAACCAATGATTGGAAAAAGCTGCCAGAAGACCAGTTAATCCGTGTCATTGCCCAGTTTGCAGCGACAAGCCCAGAGGATCCAAAGCATGCTCTGCCTGAGTTAAAATCCGTCACATTTTCCAGCCGAGATTGCTTCAGGCTTGAGACAAAGAAAAAAGGAATACACCGAGATTTACAAAGAGAATGAGTCAATTGGGGTTTTCCACAGAAATCAGGATTCTCGGGTGGGACATAAGACATCGAGAGCCAGCTTGTTAAAAAAAATAAAAAAAACCTCATTCATATATTTATATCTTGCTCGGTTTTAAAGGGAAAGCCACATATATGAACAACTTGAAGATTATGGGAATTCCTTTGCCAGGAAGCCCCAGCTGATGGGGGGCTAAGAAGTGCATCTTAAAAAACATCTCCCTGTCCTTTTGGGGAGTCAAACTTCTCTTTCTACAGACCGCCTTAAAAAAAAAAAAAAACCCGTCTCTATTCTTCAGCTAAATGATTTTTGCCTGCACAAATGTGCCACCGGGGAACAGAGTGTTCCAATTAAAGACATGGAAAAGGTAAGGATTTTCACCTTGTTGTAACTTCTTCCAAGTGACTGTCCATTAGATTGATAGCTCACCTTTCCTCCTGTTCACCTGTGGTAGCCTGGCTCACTTAAAAACATTAATCACTTGGAAGATACAACACCCCCCCCAAATGTATTAAGTATGCAAATAGCTACAGTATGCAGGTAGTCAATTGTCTAAGGACAGCCATGGAGAGCAGAATATCCATGGTTAAGCAATGTGGTTGTAAAGCAGAACCACCGCACTGCTTAGCGACAGTAATCCCTGCCCTTTCTTTTGCTATTGTTATGGGAATGCCATGTCATTAAGGGAGAGGTAAATTCCTGCTGGCTTCTCACAGCCAAAGCCAGTGGAAAGTTGCAAGTCCCGGGGCCACAGGACAGTATGGGACGATGTAGGACAGCGGTCCCCAACCTTTACAGCTTAATGGCCTGGCGGGGGGGAGGAGAACCGGGCTGTGTGAACAATGGGCCAGTGTGCGCATGTGTGCGTGCACACCAGCCCGCTGCTCACGTAAGTCAAACTGTGTATGCTGTGCATGTGTGCTGGCACACCGCTCATGTAAGTCGCTTTATGCGCCCATGCACCAGCCCTGGGCTCACCTGGCCCAGTTCTGAACCCCAGTTCCCAAGGGTTGGGGGACCCCTGATGTAGGAGATGGCTGGGATGAACCTGAGGGAGGAGTCAAACATGTCATCAGTCATGAGTCCCTTCACGTTCACAAGAGAACCACGTCCAGCCCGCCATTCCTTCTAGCCTTATCTACCGCCAACATGCTTTGACTGTTAGTAGCTCAGATTCTTGCAGAGAGCTTAACCTTGCAATCCATCTTTTTGCCCATGTGAGCAGCCTGGATCTTCTCATTTCCCTGGTGCTTGACATGATACGCGTGCGAGTCAGGGGAACTGCGCAGGGGTGTGCAAGGAAGGTGCGGCGCAGGTTGGGGAGTGTGCATGGAAGCACACTGGTGGTCGGTGTGGTATGAACATTGCAGTGTCCCGCGGTCACGTGATTACCATTTGTGGGCTTCGCAAAAAGCAGAGCGAATAGAAAAGGCATAAAATTGTAAGGCGCAGTTCGGTGAAGTTTTGTTAATGCCCCACAGTGATTCGCTTAACATTCAAAGGGGAAATAAGGTCATAAGCCCACTGAAATCACATGACACTTTGCACTTAGTGATGGCATTGTCACTCTCAACTGTGGCCGCTAAGTGAGGACTACTTATACTAATCTAAGATTGAGGCACAGCTTCCAGTTTCATAGTCTGGCTGAAAAAGAGGGTCTTCCCACTCTCCTAAAATCTATTTCCAATGCTGTTCCTCCAAACGGATAGCTGTTTCCCCCCCCTCTTACAATTCTATTCATCGCTAAAGATTTATTTACTCTTATCAATGCGATCTAATCACACTTCAAATGAAGTAGTGCTGTTGATGTTGTTTTAAAATTCCTTTTCTCTCTCTCAAAACAAAAGGTTTAAACCTTTTTGTGCTGGATGAAGAATGCTTCTTGAATCACACTCCAAGTTGTGACAACTTTACAGAAGAAAGAAAAATACCACTTGATGCGCATTAAACAATCAATCCTTTCGAGAGATACTTACACAAAAAAGGGCATCAGTTGGATGAGAGTCTCCTTTTTGGGGCTGGCAATGAATTCTGGCAGAGTCTGGATGACTTTGTTCATCACGTTTCTTAAGTAGTTCTGCAACTGCTTCCGTCGTTCCTCCACAAACTTTGCATCCTAAAGGAAAGGAGGAGAGAAGAGAAAGCAGATCAGCATGCCTGGATTCACACACTAATATGTCCGTCCTTTGTACAAGCAAAAAACGCTCCACTGGAGTCAAAGTGGCAATCACAGGCCAGGCAGCCTACTGGAGTCCAGATGTTCTGAACTGCAACTCCCAGTATCCTTCATCAGTGGCCATTGGACGCTATCATTCAACAACAGCTGGAGAGTCACGGATATTCCAGACATGTAAGAGAAGGAGAGGCAGAGTCTGGGAGCGAAGTCAAGAGAGGACTTAGCCTGGCATCATTACATTCCCACGAGTGGTCCAAGTCCAATCCCTTTTGAATTACGTTGAGCACCAATTTAATGCTGACCATTAGTTGACTAGATGTTTGTGTAGATGCAGGAGCAATAAATCAGTTTAACTGGAACTTTAACATAAGGTCCTGATTCTTCAGGTCTTGACAGTTTCCACATAAGAAACAGGTTCAGAACTCAACTGTATGCAACAAGTGAAACAAGGGCTCACTCTGGGGGTGGTTTTGCCAAAAATCGGAAGTAAGGGTCACTTTTTTGGCAAAACTGTCACAAAACGTGGTAACGAGATTGCCGGATGCTGCAAACTGGCCGTAAATGGGGTTGTGTTGAGGAGCACTCGAAGCTCAGTAAAATGACTGTGAAGAAGGCCAGATCGTCAAAACTTGGAATCTGAGGCCGTAAGTCCTCTTTTCCAGGCCAGCCTCTTGAAAAAACAACCCCGGGAACAACCGATCCAAAGTGGAAGACTTTAGGTTCAGGTCTCCATGTGTGTGTAAATATAAAACTGCAACATGTGCAACTCATCTGCCCGATATCTAAATACAGGTGAAACTCGAAAAATTAGAATATCATGCAAAAGTTCATTTATTTCAGTAATGCAACTTAAAAGGTGAAACTAATATATGAGATAGACTCATTACATGCAAAGCAAGATAGTTCAAGCCGTGATGTGTCATAATTGAGATGATTATGGCTTACAGCTCATGGAAACCCCAAATCCACAATCTCAGAAAATTAGAATATTGTGTACAGGTTCAATATTCTAGGCTCAAAAGTGTCCCACTCTAATCAGCTAATTAAGCCATAACACCTGCAAAGGGTTCCTGTGCTTGATTGGCCAGCAAACCTGCCTGACCTGAACCCCATAGAGAATCTATGGGGCATTGCCAAGAGAAAGATGAGAGACGTGAGACCGAACAATGCAGAAGAGCTGAAGGCTGCTATTGAAGCATCCTGGTCTTCCATAACTCCTCAGCAGTGCCACAGGCTGATAGCTTCCATGCCACGCCGCATTGAGGCAGTAATTGCTGCAAAGGGGGCCCATACCAAGTACTGAGCATGCTTATACTTTTCAGAGGTCCAATATTGTTCTATGTACAATCCTTGTTTTATTGATTGCATGTAATATTCTAATTTTCTGAGATTGTAGATTTGGGGTTTTCATGAGCTGTAAGCCATAATCATCACAATTATGACAAATCATGGCTTGAACTATTTTGCTTTGCATGTAATGAGTCTATCTCATATATTAGATTCACCTTTTAAGTTGCATTACTGAAATAAATGAACTTTTGCACGATATTCTAATTTTTCGAGTTTCACCTTACATATTTCAACAGCAACCAAAATGACTTCTAAAGTAACGAAGCAACAAATTGTTAATTGCTCCAAAGAGGCCTATATAAGTATTGGTAGACAATATTGCACAAATATGTGCAGGTTTTTCTTATTGTCAGCTTAAAAAAAAAACCCCAGGGAGATGTGGCTGTTCAATGAACAGGAAACCTTCATAGGCCTATTTAATGATTTTTGCAAGAAATCGCTATTCGGGGAGCTTTAAGTACATCGATCAAACTATTAACAGGAAACGTAACAGAGCAGATTCCGTTTTAGAAAGCAACGGCTTTGATTTTTGCAGTCCTCGGCTTACAACCCTTTGTGGAATGACTGTTGGAAGTTAGGATAGGGCTAAAAAAAGGGGTCCTCACACTTACAGCCATGCTGTGTGGGCGTTTTTCTATCTCGATGGCTTCTCTGATTATTCTGTTATTAAAGTGTTCAGTTTTGGCGATAGTCCTGGTCTTTTTAAAGTCAATTTCATGTCATTAATAATTTCTGCCTTAGCCTTGAGCAGCTATAGGAACCCCAGTCTCTAGAGCAGTGGTGGCGAACCCATGGCACGCGTGCCAGAGACGGCACTCAGAGCCCTCTCTGTGGGCACGCGCACTGTCGCCCCAGTCCTAGGCCTTCAGCTGGGTTTTACAAAACCTTTTCCCTTTAGGCCTCCACCACCATGTACAAAAAAAGAGGTTCAATCAATCAGTCAATTTCAACTTCTCGCAGAAAAAAAAAGATCTTGCAAAGTTGGAATTGATTGATTGAACTTTTTAGTCCCACCCAGTCTGCCGTTACCACCGCAGCCACGCCCACCCAATGGGCCACACCCACCCAATGGGCCACACCCACCCGGCACCCGACGATGCATAAGTAGGTTTTGGGTTGCAGTTTGGGCACTCGGTCTCTAAAAGGCTCGCCATCACTGCTCTAGAGAATGCTTAGAATGATGGTAGCATTGTCTGATAATTCCTTTACCATCTTTTGATCTTTTTTTTTTTTCCCCAGCCTCCATGGGAGCAAGTTTTAGTCAAGGTTTTTATCAGCTGCCATTATTTAAAATAACAAAGTGGGGTGAGATGCTCCTCCAACATAAGCGGTGTAATTTTATTCTCTTATTCCACAATCGATCTGCAAAATGTTTTCGCAGAATAAGTCTCTCAAGTGGCTAATCTACCGTCAGCACTTAGTGTGACCCAGTTTTTACTGGGTTGCATTTCCTTGTTTCGAAGCGCCAATATTTTTGTATTTATTCTGCTGGATTTCCAGAGCATCAAGGAAAGAGGGGAGCAGAAATTCTAGGAAGAACAATTAAAACAATTGCTTATTATCGAAGATTGCAAAGCCCGAATCCATAAATCAACAACTTCATAATTGCTTCCTTTCCTTTACCGAAAAGTGACTGTATTCATAAATCAAAACCTTAAATATTGATTGGTACACTTCAAAAAGAATTCATGTTTGGAAAGTTTCATTCACTTTGTACCTTGGGGAAATTTGCAACTGTGGTGTTTTTGTTTTGTTTTCCTTCTAAAAAAAAATAATAATAAAAAATCTGTTCACAATTGCTGCTGTTTTTGACCTGTGACGGTTACAGATGGTCCTTCCTCCCTAACAAAGCAACTGAGAAAGAATGATTCAAATCAAGGCCACTGAATTGCAACAGCCCACCAGCCAAGGGAGAAACTGCCATTCATGCTATGCTCTTCCTGAACAGAACATCCAGATCCAAATTGAAATGAGTCGCCTGTTGAAATATTAAACCTTGACCTCTGCTTTTCAGAGCCCAGTCTTCTTTTAGAAGGGGGGAAAAATAACATTCCATTATCATTAACCTGAACACATTGGATTGAAAAATGATTCCCTGAAAAGAAGCCGACATCTGAATGGCTGGGTGTACATAATACATCCATGTTTTCACAGAGGTAACATTTCCTACAAGCTCAGCAGCCCCCAAAGATCAGCTGTCGCAGGAAGAGTTAGCAGGGGAGGTTGACCTCCATTCACAAGACCCTGGTTTTTCAAAGAGCAAGTGATAATGACAGGGGTATGAAGCATCATTAAGGTCTTCCCTAAACACCCAATACTGTGGACAGGCTCCATTAGACAAGATCCTTTCCAGACTGGACTGGGAAGTTATTTTTTTAAAAAAAAACTTGCAAAAAATACATTTTTTTTTCTTACTTTCCAGTCTAGTCTCAGCAGGATAAATCAAAGGACTTGTCTAGTAGAGTTTGTCCATGATGTTGGGTGTTTAGAGAAGAAGAAAAGTAATTTGTAATTTGTGTCTGCATGTACACACAAACACACACACGCACTCCTATCAGACAAACTCTAAATTACTGCACAGTACATGTCATGCCCTTCTCAAATGAAATTAATTTCCTCAAATCGGGCAAAATCCTTTCTTTCTGAACCGGAGAAAATTCTTGGATAAAGCAGTCGAGACAAGAGAATGGCAAGACTTTTATGTATTATACTTCCCTGATCTTATTAAATAGATAATGTGAGTAATATAAGCAAACTGTGATCAGAATGCCATTAAAAAAAAAAAATAGCCCACAGCATGTTCTCTGGAAACCCCTTCAGTGAGATCATTTCTAAGCCGTATTTTTAGTAGAACTGCTGAACTCCCGTGGTTAATTTTAGAAGCTTATGCTTCCTTTCTAAAAGAAAGCTTATGAGTTAGAAATAAGCACGTGGGTGCATAGAAATGTCTAAAATTGGAAGGATGTCACTTCATCGTTGGGATAGTGGTTTTGTCTCCAAAATGTTGTGATTAATGTTGGAAGTATTTCAGATATGATGATGATGATGATGATGATGATGATGATGATGATGATGATGATGATAATGTTGAAAGGGACCTTGGGGGTCTTCTAGTCCAACCCCCCTGCTCAGGCAGGAAACCCTATACCATTTCGGACAAATGGCTGTCCAGTTTCTTCTTAAAAACTTCCAGTGTTGGAGCATTCACCGCTTCTGGAGGCAGGTTAATTGTCCTCACTGTCAGGAAGTTTCTCCTTAGTTCTAGGTTGCTTCTCTCCTTGATTAGTTTCCATCTGTTGCTTCTTCTCCTGCCTTCAGGTGCTTTGGAGAACAGCTTGACTCCCTCTTCTTTGGGGCGTCCCCTGAGATACTGGAACACTGCTATCATATCCCCCCTCGTCCTTCTCTTCATTAAACTAGACATACCCAATTCCAGCAGCCTTTCCTTATATGTTTTAGCCTCCAGTCCCCTGATCATCTTTGTTGCACTCTTTCTAAAGACTCAACATCTTTTTTACATTGTGGTGACCAAAACTGGATGCAGTATTCCAAGTGTGGCCTTACCAAGGCGTTGTAAAGTGGTAATGTTGTGATTAATGTTGGAAGCATTTCAGATACGATGCTACTACGATTTCCAGCCACTCGTTCCAGCCACCCTTAAATGGGGCAAAACTCCGTCTGCACAAACAGAGCTTGCTAGGCCTTGGGGGTCACACACACACACACACACACACACACGTACACACACACACGCGCGCACACACACACACACACACACACACACACACCTCCAAAGTGTTGCACTTCCACGTAGGAATATTTTTCTGGAATAGCTGTGTTCCCTAGCGTCACGAGAGAAGGAAGAAAAATGTTTCTCTTTCAGCTAATATAAACGTTTAGGTTCCTGCAGAGCTGATCTTGACAGCAACCGACTTGCAGCTAAAAGTAGCAATGTTCATTTGTTTGGCATAAAAAGGCGAAGACAAGGGTATCACAAATGGAATTTATCCTGCTCCTCTCTATAACTCGCAGCTTTCAACAGATTTGGATTGCTTTTTTTTTTTTTTAAAGTCTTCATCTGGCCCTGGATTACAAATACGAATCACGTCTTTTTTTATTATTATTATTTTTCCTTTCTTTTTAATGGCCCTTGGAATCAAAGAGCAAAAAAGACATGAGTCTTCCAGGGGGAAAGCCTTGGAGGAATTAGTGTGAAAATGATCTCCTAATAAGAACTAATGAGACGAGGAAAGCTTCAGAGGAGAGTTTTATAAAGATGCAGCATCTGTGAAAAAAGACCACCTGAACTGAAAGTGATAAAGGAGAAGTCAGCAATGGAGAGGTGGAACATTTAGACAGATGGCAAAGAATCCTCCTGCATTGGTGGCACGGGCGGAGAGAAATGAAGGATAACAGAAACAGAATAAGAATAGGAAGGAGCCTTGGAGGTCTTCTAGTCCAACCCCTTGCTCAAGCAGGAGACCCTATACCATTCCGGACAAATGGCTGCCAGTCTCTTCTTAAAAACTTCCAGCGTTGGAGCATTCACCGTTTCTGGAGGCAGGTTGTTCCACTGGTTAATTGTTCTAACTGTCAGGAAGTTTCTCCTTAGTTCTAGGTTGCTTCTCTTTTTGGTTAGTTTCCACCTGTTGCTTCTTGTCCTGCCTTCAGGTGCTTCGGAGAATAGCTTGACTCCCTCTTCTTTGGGGCAGCCCCTGAGATATTGGAACACTGCTATCATCATCCTTCTCTTCATTAAACTAGATAGACCCAATTCCAGCAACTGTTCCTTATATGTTTTAGCCTTCAATCCCCTGATCATCTTTGTTGCTCTTCTCTGTACTCTTTCTAGAGTCTCAACCTCCTTTTTACATCGTGGTGACCAAAACTGGATGCAGGATTCCAAGTGTTATAAAGTGGTATTAACACTTCACAGTAAACAATACCCCAATCAGGAAACTGCCAAAGAAGCCAACAGCAAATAGCCCAATCAAAGAATCTCTAAGACCACCTCCATCAACACCGACAGGGCAAGCCACTAGAATATAAACTGACAGCAAACTGACAGTTATTAGCACTGATGATGTTACCTAGTTTGGGTCATGAAACGTCTGCAAGAAAACAAGCAAGCTCAGAGAGCGCCACGGACCCCACAGTGTCAATCTCTTCCCAAGAGCAGTCATCATATTTGGCTTACATAAACGCTGTTTTCCTGAAGATGATATACGATTCACTGATCTATTCTTTCATATCAGACAATACCTCCTCTATCACAGCAAGGCTTCCTAACCCTGGCAATTCTCAGAGTATCTCTTTAATAATGCAAATCGTTTGCTTTAGTTTGGCAAGATTTCTCTCCGTAGGTGATCAACAATAAACTGCTCAGAAATAATTCTATGTGATTTTTGGGGGGGTGGCTTGGGGGCCTGACAATTACCTTGTTTCCAATAGCTTTCTTGGGTGGGAAGTTAAAGCTTCGTACTTGGTGGTGCCTCATCTGCAACTTGTGGTGAAGCCCCCTAAATTCCGTATATCTTCGATAGACATTCCACTCGTCGTCTTTGATCCTGATATATACCTGTTAGAAACAGAGAGACGGGATCAATCGGTTTTATCCAAAACCAGGATACTAGATCTAGATCAGTGGTTCTCAACCTTTTTAATGCCCCAACCCCCAACTGGTCATAAGTCGAGGACTACTCAACTGGTGCAGCACCGTTTGCAGAATGGGACTTTTGGCGGGCTCAGCAGGGCAGAGACAGCCTGGACAATTCCTATTGGCTTTTGAAAGCCAATAGAATTAGACTCTATTCAAGAGAGTCTATTCTATTGGCTTTCAAAAGCCAATAGAATAAAAGGGAGTAGCACAGCTAAGGAAAAGGGGGAAAAAATGGCGGACTGCGTTGTTTGGTGACCCCCGTGAAATGGTCGTTCAACCCCAAATGGGGTCCCAACCCACAGGTTGAGAACCACTGATCTAGATCTTGGATGGGAAAGATACCAATCTGGCAACAGTCTTCCCAGATCAATTACCAAAACACTTCGTTTGTGTGTTTGTTTGTTTGAATCCTGCTTTTATACGAGTCAGTTGCCAGGCGTCCGAATTTTGATCACGTGACCGCGGCAGTGGTTGTAAGTGGGGAAAATGGTCATAAGTCTCCTTTTTCAGGGCCGTAACTCTGAATGGTCACTAAACAAAATGGTTGTAAGTCACCAACACCTGTACAATTGAAGTTCGGGGATCACGAAGCAGGATTGGACCTGGCTAGAACTTAGATGGAAAAGCACTTGGAAAACCTCAGAGAACTCAACTATTATGAGACAAAGATAGCAAATCACATTTGTGCGGTTGTCAAGGAAGCTATGTGGATTTGCTGAGTGCAAAAGAGCCTTATTTCCATTTTCTTCCAAAAAATGAGATATGTTTCAACTGCAACAGACATATGTGCACGCATAACTCTATATTCAGAATTTTCATTCCGTTTTGGTCTCCAGATCTTTCATTAAAAAGTAAAGGCAAAGAGACAGAAGAATATAAGGCATCAGCCACAAATTGCCACATCCACTGAGCAACTGACATATAGAATATATGGACCTTACATACAGGGCATTATTCACTTAACAACTGTGGCAAAAAGGGCCGTAAAACGGGGCAAAACTGACTTAACAATGGTCTCACTTAGCAATGGAGATTGTGGGTTCTTTTGTGGTCGTTAAGTCAAATGACTACCTGTATGACAAGGGCAATTACGTTTACCATCAATAAACTCAACTTAGCTGCACTTCTTAACGTAAAAACAACAGCAAGTTATTTGGTGTAGGCTTTGTTCTTACCTGATCAAAACCAGAAAGAAGATATGTGACATAAACAATCTTTTGTCCTACTTGGGGATAAGGCCAGGGAAGAATCTACAGCACGCACTTGATGCTATCATAAAAAAGTACATTTCAGCAACAATAGGATTCAATTATCTCCATCTCACAAGGGCATGCTCTCAATTCCAAAAGAATCTTCTTAAAACCAACACAAGATTTTAAAACCATGACTTCAGGAGCAAGTTACTGTCCAGTTGTCTGGTTCAAAGAGATTAAGGGACTCCTTAAGAGATAAGTTCACACAGTATGCAAAACCAAACGATCAAACAACATCTTACGGCTTACCACTGGGTGTTGGTTGAACCAAAAAAAAAAAAAAAAAAACAAGTGCAGAGAAGAGCAACTAAGATGATTAAAGGCCTGGAGACAAAAAACTATGCAGGATTTGGGTTTGGCTAGTCTAGAGAAAAGAAGGATTAGGGGGGACATGACAGCAGTCTTCCAGTATTTGAGAGGTTGTCACCAAGAGAAGGGGGTCAATTTATATACTAACGCACTTGTAGGCAGGACGAGAAACAATGGTTGGAAACTGATCAAAGAGAGAAGCAACCTGGAACTAAGGAGAAACTTCCTAACAGTGAGGATAATTAATCAGTGGAACAGCTTGCCATCAGAAGCTGTGGGTGGAGGTTTTTAAGAAGAGACTGGACAATCACTTGTCTGAAATGGTGTAGTCTCCTGCTTGAGCAGGGGGTTGGACTAGAAGACCCCCCAAGGTCCCTTCCAGCTCTATTCTGATTGATTGATTGATTGACTGATTGATTGATTGAAATACTGACAATCATTAATCCACTGATACCAAGTAGGACAAACATTAGAAGCACACTTTAATCAGGAGTTTATGATAGAAGAAATCTGCTTTAATTTATTTCAAACTGCTAGTGATTTGGGAGGTTCCCCCCGGGGACTATTGAGATTCAGGATATTATTGTTTTATGGGAAGTATAAGCGCTCCCAAACTTCTCCATCTTGACAGCTTACATTCCCCGATTGCTAAATGCAGCTGTCATAAATGTCTGTGCTATTAATTTTGTGCCTGAACAAAACACTAACATCTCTGCAACAGCTCGGCAGATTTGGAAATCTTGGGAGGGAAGGAAACAAGGAGCGCCGGAGCACAAAACTGGTGCGGGCCACGCGGTTGAGTTGAAAGGCTTTTGAAGGTGGGGTTCCTGCAGTCAAATCCATGTGCAGTGTTGAAGTGTCCAACTTCTGCACCTCTTAACCAGCCCCCAGTTGCCTAAATCTACTCCAAATTATTATGGATGGACATCGCCGCCCTGAAAGGGTTCTGTTTTCTCACGCTGCGGGTTTTCAATCTTTCCTATCTGAAGGCTTATAAATCATCTTCTCAACCACCTGGATCCCACGAGGATGTAAATAAAAGCCAATTTTGTCCAAGAAGAACATAAATATGCAGGTGGGCAGTCTTTAGGGTGTTGTATTTATCAAGCGGGGTCAATTTTAAGGTCATCATCAATGGCAATAATAATACCGCTGCCAAGACTACTTTGATTGCAACATAATAAGTGAGAGCCAGTGTTAGCCGTAAAGTCGCCAAGATCCGTTAGCCTGGTATTCCACATTCCACATGGAGAATTTCTGTGTAATTCAAAGAACTAGAAACACTAATCAAAGAGACTGACCTCCCCCATCACTAACTGGGGTTAAAAATATCCTTTGCTATTGTGGGGGACACTCTTTCCTTAACTAAGTTAAGGATGGGAGACAACTGCTTTCTTTAGCTTTATTGTAACCTTAACCAACTAAAACTTTCTAAGGGCTAAGTTTCTTCATTGTTAGTACTCTCCCTTTTTTTACAGCTATCTATCCCCTTTTTTAAAGTGTAGTGTGACCTATTGCGCTGTATTAAAAAAAAAATCTGCTAAAGTAATTGTTTTAGCTAAGCCATTAGCTTATCGGTGGCCAGACACATTTAGAGATTTTTTATTTTTTTTTAGTGTCTGGTGTTTAGGACTTGTGTCTCCTTAGGTCTTAGAAGCCTAATATTTATTTTAAATTACTTTCTATGGCAGGGAGGGCATTTATTTCCTTGTTTTACTAAAACATCATCTATTTCATGTTTCAACAAGCTAGAGCGGTATCAAAAGACTGATGCTCACACGCCATATTTAGCATTTCTGTGCCAGGATTTATAAAACTAATTGCCTATAAAATCTGAGGGAACGAGCTTTCCATTTCAAAGAGCCCAAATTGTTTTCTATATATGTTCTTTCTTTCAAAAACCTAATTATCACTTCATAATTCATGCTTACGTTTGTCAGTTATGAACAGATTACCTGAGTTAACATTACTCTCTTCCTAAATCATGAAACATCCTGGTGGGTATTTTTTTTTAAAAATATGTCAATGTCCTTGTTTGCTAAGGTAATTCCAGTTGAACGAGGAGCCAGCAATGTGAGGCAGCAGCCAAAAAAGCCAACATAATCCTAGGTCAGTGGTGGCAAACCTATGGCACGGGTGCCAGAGGCGGCACTCAGAGTCCTCTCTGTGGGCACGTGTGCTGTCGCCCCAGTCCTAGGCCTTCAGCTGGGTTTTATAAAACCTTTTCACTTTAGGCCTGCACCACCATGTGCAAAAAAAAAAAAAGGTTCAATCAATCAATTTCAACTTCTCGCAGGGAAAAAAAAGATCTTGCAAAGTTGGAATTGATTAATTGAACTTTTTAGTCCCACCCAGTCTGCCATTACCACCGCAGCCACGCCCACCCAATGGGCCACACCCAGCCAATGGGCCACACCCACCCAGCACCCGACCTTGCATAAGTGGGTTTTGGGTTGCAGTTTGGGCACTCGGTCTTTTAAAGGTTCGCCATCACTGTATAACAGAGGGATAGAATCAAGATCACGTGACATATTAGTACCACTTTATAAAGCCTTAGTAAGATCACACTTAAAATACTGCATCTTGTTTTGGCCACCGTATTATAAAAAAGATGTAGAGACTCTGGAAAAAATGCAGAACAAAGCAACAAAGATGATTAGGAGGCTGGAGGCTAAAATATATGAAGGACGGTTGCAGGAATTGAGTTTGTCTAGTCTAGTAAAAAAGAAGGACCAGGGGGACATGAGAGCTGTCTTCCAATATTTGAGGAGCTGCCACAAAGAAGCGCCTTTTATTCTCCAAAGCACCTGAAGGCAGGATAAGAAAAAATGGATGGAAACTAATCAAAGAGGGATCCAACCTAGAACTAAGAAGGAATTTTCTAACCATTAGAACAATTAATTTGTGGAATGGTTTGCCTTCAGAAGTTGTGGGTGCTCCATCATTGGGTTTTTTTTTTTAAAGAAAAGATTGGATAGCCAATTGTCTGGAATGATATAAGGCCTCTTGCTTGAGCAGGGGGTGGACTAGAAGACCTCCAAGGTCCCTTCCAACTCTATTATTCTGTTAAAAAATGTAGTTTTTGTCTTTTTTTAATCAAGCAAGTCAACTTGCCATCTCTGCAAATTCTATCATCTTCGCCAACCGTTCTTCCGTTGTGGATGTTTCAGGTTCTTTCCGTCTTTGTGCATATAATAATCGTTGTGCATGGACATAAAAAGTTGTGTATAATACATCCATAAGTCCCAACAGGAAAAGTTCTGGTTTTAGTTGAATGCTAACCTTAAACATTATTTATATCACTCTATATACTTGTATCTAAAATTTTGTAGCTTTTTTTTTTTTTACAAATCCACC